TATATATATATATATATGTATATATATATATATATATATATATACTCGACCATTGTCCACATCCCTTGTGCATGACTCTTTCACCTCCACTCATACACTTGCCGTGTGCAGGGGCCCAGTCGTTCTACCTGGATGGTACGGCCGTGACTATGCTGAACGAACAAATAGAGACTATTGCACTCGATGCCTATGGCAATACAGCCACAGAGACTGTGCTGCCGTACACGTACGACGAGAGTGTCCTGACTGCGATGTCCAGTGCGCAGTATACACCTCAGGTATGTGCACGTATGTGGTTCAAGTAACCGATGGAGTGGGTGGGTGTGTGTAGAGTGTATGTGTGTGGTTCAAGTAACTGATAGAGTGGGTGTGTGTATATAGTGTGCCTCACCTTAATTTTCTGGCGTGTTGTAGGGTTCTAGGGTTTTAGGGTTTGAGTTTTCGAGTGGGTGCGAAAGGTGTGCGTGTTGCGTGAGTGTGTAGGTATATGACTCGTCCCGTTTAAACGTGTGCTTGAACGTGTTTGTGGGCCTTACGCGTGCGCAATGCTACTGCTCGTAGTACGTATTCACAATCACTCCCTCTAACATCCTCTACCCAAATCCCCAGACAAACCAATTGAGCGAAGCTATGTTCACCAAATCGGGATTAGGCGTGTTTATAGGTCCCAATGAACATGTAGTTGTCAGTAGCGGTACCGATATGAAAGCGGGACAGGTGGTCTACACGGAATACGCACAGCCCATGCACTACTACACCGGTGATGACTGGTCCTATACCAACGGCAGCCCAGACTATCTGGACGCGTTCAACAACCCCGTAGCAGTGCAGGTCAATGGTAAGTACTATGGCTGTGTGCACATGTAGGTATCAGCGTGTGTATGTGTGTGTGCGTGTGTGTATTTAGACGGTGTAGCAGTGCTTGTCAATGGTAAGTGCTTTAGCTGTGTGAACATGTGGGTATTTGTGTGTGTGTACTTCTCAATTAACGATATTAACGATATCACTTCTACTTTGTTCTGTATTATATTGAGCGGCCCCCATGGACATAGTTAAGACTACGCATCATCACAATTTACGACATCGCTCTCATTTTATTTTATTTTGTATTCAGCTGCCCCCATGATCAGAGTCGAGACTATGCAGGAGATGGCTGCTCAGGGCTTCTCTCCACATTTCTCATTTTATGGTCTGGCGATATTCGACACGAACGGAAGTGCTCTCTTCAGCAACCAACAAGGTAGGAAACATGTGCATGTGCAATGTAATTTTTAGGTTATTAGGTTATGAAGTGTGTCTATGTATTATTGAAGTGTGTAGGTGTGTGATGTTTAGGTTATGTAGTATATATATATATATATATATATATCAAGTGTGTGCATGTGCAATGTTTAAGTTGTACTCGCCCGATCAACACTCTGTCGTGCACCAGCTTACTGCACATACGCGTTCATGCTTGTAGTAGCATACGCATGTAAGCGTACATGCTTGAAATAGCGTGCAGTCGACTCCTTCTCAGACCATCAATACTATACACTATATTCAGGAACCCTAAAATCTCAAATCCTAAAACCCTAAAACCTTAAATTCAAAAACATTCTCTCAGGCGATGTATTGGATCGGTTCTTTAGGCCATGCGTGCGCGGTGAGAAAGTATTCGATATGTACCACGGTGGCTTACGTGCCATGGATGACAACATGACACCTGTCAAGGACAACGACCTGCAGCCTGTGTGGCTGGATGCTTACCTGGATGGTGTGTAAGATATATACTAGTGTGTGTATACTTATATATATATATATATATATAGCAATAAAATATCATTTTTAGATCTGTGACCTGCTCTTCTCTTCTGAACACCCCCTCTCCCTTCTCGCACACCCCCAGTGATCGTAGCGCGGGTCAACCTCACCGCACTACAACTGGACACCCTGACTATGGAAGAAGCCGAGGCTGCCCTGCTTAAAGCGAGATACGAATACCGGTACAGCCCCAACCAGGAGCGTCTGTACACCAAGAGAGGGTATCCACTGTTCATTGGTCCATACGACAGTGTGGTGGATGTGATTGGACGACAGGCGCCCCACCACGTCCCCGTCTTTCTGAGTGATGGAAGTGCGGTACCGCAGATGACGGCCGAACGCTTACCTAAAGTCACGGACTCGGTAGGTGGAGGGGTTGGTTATATGAGCATGGTCTGTTATTCTGTAGATAGGTGCAGGTATGGAGTATGTGTATCTTTGACATGTGTGTACGTGTGTGTGTGCCTTGCCTGGCTGCACGTGCATATGTGTACGCTTCGCATCCGCAGACTATGCGGCTACCCTGTGTGGCAGAGGTACACGCTTGTGTGGGTGGAGCGGTGCGTGTCGGTGTATATGAAGTCACTCTAATTGCTGGCATGCTCCTGTATCTTATTACGCCAGGGCTCCGTATACATAGATGCATATTGGAATGACGTTACAACTCCAATGTTGGCGTCATTGTTTTCTATATCGGAGGAAACCATCGCAGAGATGGCAGCCAATGAAATGCGCCCGCACACGGGACCCTCCAACCAGCTGCTCTTCGATTACGCAGGGAATTGTCTATTTTTAGATTCCTCTTTAATTGTCCACTCCGCTGTCGGGCGGGTGCTGTCCGAAGGCGAAGTAGTGTACGACGGTGAACACACGCCTACGCACAAGATGAACGGCAGTGAGTGGCAGTACGAGGGGCGTCTTCCTGTGTACATGGATGCCTATTGGAAGCCTGTGACACCTGTTCCGGGTAGGTAAGAGTGAGCGCCAGTCTGTGATTGGATAGGGGCGGGGGGTAGGTAAATATAAATATTTTTAGAACAAATCGGGCATCCTTATCAGTGGTCTGTTGCGCCTGATACCATCAAGCACCAGTGAGCGCCAGCCTATCATTGGATTAGTGGAGAGATTAGGCATCCACTTCTCTTGCGCTCACTTTTGGTTCATGACTTACATCTGTATATGTGCGTCCATTTGAAGACTTTTACGCCTTAAATATCGAGATTCTAATGTTGATTCAATATCTATATTGATAAAATCCCTAATTGATTAAATAACTAAATTCATTCCATTCTGAAATTGATTCAAATCCTAAATTGATCAAATTACTAAATTGGATGAAATTCCTAAATTGATTCAATTGTATGCAAATGATTTTTGCCCAAACAGAGAGCGCCTCGCTACAATTATTCACATCGGCCTCCAGCCATTATATTCGTATACTATTAACCCTTTCTTACGTATTGTGCCACTATGTACCTAAACTGCCAACCATTTCATACGTATTCTGCCACTCCACTTCGCCGATGTAGGTAAACTACCCCTCATCAGCAGCGAACAAGTACAAGCGCGCGGGGCGGCTGGGTTTGTCCCGTTAATGAACCCCGCTTCGCAGTACGTTTTCAATTACGCCGGCAGTTTGCTATTCAAGGAGACAGCCTCAGGTAGTGTTCTATGGCATCGACCGGTACGCATTGCGCTGTGCGTACGTTTTCTCCATTATATTGTTCTATTATTATTTCTTCCCGTTCTCTCCAATACGTTTTGTGCGTATTAAGGTATTGTTTGGTAGTGATGTAATATCTCTTGGCCAAGTTGTTTATGGTCATAAGGTCACAAACTTGTTTTTTTAGAAACAGTTGTTGTTTAGAGCTCCGCCGGCGCTTGAGGGAGTCAGGCATGAGATGTAGTGTATCTATTTACCTGATACGTTTTTGGACCTGGAAATGTTCGGCACAACTGTATATCGGATATTTAATATCAAACTGGCTGCATACAAGCATGAGGTTACATTCGCAAAGTATGATTGGTTTTCCGAAACCCCACACATAACACATACATGCTCTTTATATAGACACGACTACATAACACACACATATACATATGAAATATTTGTCCATTAATTTCAGGCGCACCAAAAATATGTCACCCGAAACCTGCACATTTAGGGCTCATTGCACCTCGAATTTTTCGGTTGACAATTTTAACCCGCGTGTATCCAACACGTATGACGTAACAGGCAACGTCACAGACAGATTCGGCGTAGCGCAGCCCGAAAACTCTGTCGTGTTTGACGAGTTCGGAGGACCGGTCCGGTTTTTCGCTGAAGAAGGTGCACCGGTGGTAGACACTGAGGGCAAACGCGTGTTTGTCGACGCGTACTCCAATGCGGTTGGCTACACGTGAGTGGTTTTTTTGGTTTTTTTTGGATTGTGTGCCATTGTTCGAATACATAGTAGTACTTTAAAAGTGATTGATGATGTGTATGTGTTTAATTGATGATATGACTTAAAAGTAATTGATGATATATATGGGCTTTTTTGGGTTCTAGATGCTGCCGGTTGTTTTTGGCTCGTCCACGTATTGATACTTCAGAAGACATCGGCGACAGTTAAGATTGAGGGGTCGTACATTTACTTATACTGCAAACCTTTTTGGTGTAAGGCCGTACCCCAGCCCTAAACTGAACCCTAAACCCTAAACCTGAACTCCAAATTGTGTGGACAGTCTACCCAATCCCTTTCAGGAAATGATTGACGAGTTGCTGGCCAATGGCTATGTAGAGCTGTTGAACCCCACAACCGGTGCAGCTATCATCAACCAAGCACAGCTACCACTATTTCTGGGAACCGACGGCTCTGTACTCACGGTAGCCCAGGAGGTGTGTGCAGCATGACGGTGCTGGTTAATACCCGTTTACGTATTGGATTATGCCATGTGGTTGTATGTAACTATATATATACATGTATGTGCCTATGTCTGTGCCTTTGTCTGTGTGTCTCTGTGTGTGTGTGTATGTGCGTGTTTGCCTTGTTTGTCTATCTCGCGTAGGTACATCCATGTGTATGTGAATGAATACATATGCCCAGCAGGGAACCGAACCTTACTTCTTAAACTCTTTGCCGCTGCACTCACCACCGTAAAGCAGGCCATGTGTACAGCTATACGATCCAAATTAAGAATGTCTTAATGCTGACAGCAAACGTTGTTGTACGTTTATTGACCAGTCAGAAAGCGTCTTTGTAAGTTTATTGTCCAGTCAGAAATCGTCTTTGTAAGCTGATTGACCAGTTAGAAAGCGTCTTCATAAGTATTGACCAGTCAGAAAGCGTCTTTATAAGTTTATTGTCCAGTCAGAAAGCGTCATTGTAAGGTGATTGACCAGTCAAGAGAGTGTCTCTGCATACATTCTAGTACACAAGTGGTACAGATACGTTAGACATTGTACTACACATACGCGGAGCAGTATACAGACAAGGCCGCGTAATGGGAGATAACTCGCCACTCTGTCACTGGCCAGCGATTGGCTGTGTGCTCTTGGTGTACGTACCCCTATTAGATGAAGAAGCGATTATGTTATGTATATACTTATCCACACTCGGGTATAGACATACACACACAAACCTCGCACTACCTACAAACACACACACACACCCTCTGCTGACCTATCACACACGCATACGGATACACACAGATAGTGCCACAGTATGCGATTGTGATCGACTCGTCAACAGGCCAGCCCATTCCTGTACTCGATCCAGAGACAGGCACACAACAAGTGGACAGCCAAGGACTGCCCATGTACCTCGATGCCTATGGCAATGCTAGCTCAGGCGCAGCACCCTCCTCGTCACCCTCGCCTACAGTATCGTATGTACACATATGTTGGATATATATTATATATATATATATTATATATATA